CTCAAGCTATAGGTTTACCCAGAATTTTTCATTTCATCGTTAATACCTTAGGCTTTTTCTTCCTCAAGACCAGCTGGGAGGGAGCGCAAACAACGTTGCACTGTGCGATGTGCCCTCTTAATGAGTTGGAGCTTGTTATGCCGCCCACGACTGAGGGTGCTGATCCTGTAACAAGTAAAGGGAACAATACCCACAAGTTGGAGGATGGATATGTGAGCCCATATTTTGTTGAGTGTGCGAATCAAACGAAATTGATGCTTAGGAAGCATGGCTGGGATGTTAAGGAGGCGGAAATGATCATTAAGTGGGCCAAAGAACTTCTAGATCTTCATTAATGTGGACGGTGCAACTTTTCATCGTGATGGTTTTGTCAAGCTTACGTAGTGACCACACTAGGCCATTCATACGCAAACGTTATTAGCATTAGCATTATCACTGTGGATATTAATTGTTTATATTTTTGAAGTTATGTACTTTAAATTACCTTATCATAGTATATTTAGAACAATTCAATTTGCGCTAACCCTTGTTTTTATCCCTGCCCTCAACACTAATGAGTTATGTCGAAGTAAGAATATTTAGGCATATAATCTTCATTATTGATGAAGATTCACTGTACCCAATGTTTTCTCTTGCATCCACTAGTTGTTTAACACGAACCTTGTGGAGATGACGTTTTTTCCCCCATCTCTTCAACAATTTGTCTCTGAGTTCCGATAGCAAGGAAGTTAGGAGGGCCGCAGGCCAGTTTCTGTTGATGTCGCTGAGGAAGGAATCTCTTCGAGCATATAGGAAACTGTTCTCTGTAAGCACAAAAATTTCTTACCAGTGCCCTCTACATAACAAGAATGGTTTTTTGGAGTATATCTCGTTCCGCTTTAATCAGGAGGCTCAACTAAATTCGAGACGTATTGCGCATGCCATGCTTTATCTTGAGAGGAAGGAAAGTGTATTATTAAATAAAGCGACAAAGGGTCAGAAATTTAGAACAAAAAAAAAATCTTCTGTGACTCGTGGACTCCTTAATGCGGAAAGAAAGAAAATTTTGAGTGAAAATGCAACGCGCATGTCTCATAATATTGACATGATATACCGTTTGGCGGAGTTGTTGCCACACGCTGTTGGCAACACCTCGCTTACGTCTCTTTTACAAGTTTTAGCCGCTGGCGTGGGAAATACCGCGTACCAACGCCGAATGGAGTCCAGCTTCATTGAATTTTTCAACTTTGAGCAAAAGAAGGCGGAGCGCGATGATGCTGCCGAGGAAGCCACGAGTGAGCGGCAAAATCGGATCATGCAGCAGGCGTTGGTACCATACGCTGAACGTTTGCTCTTGCTGCATCGCACGGCTGTTGGCGAGAACAACCCCGCGACTAACCTCATTTACTTGACTCCATGGCAGATGACAGAGGCTATCGTGGGAACACGAAGCGGCGTCAGTGCGTATCACCTGCTCCACGGCAACGATCACATTGTTGTTGAGATCGATGAGGTGTATAACAAACAGGTGATATACGTTGCCTGTGCGTGTGCGGGGGAGGGCACTCACAACGGAAGCTACAACTGGGAGCAAGAGATCGAGGGGGTGGAAATCAGCGAATGCGAGGAGGTGAGGCGAACGGTCTTTCACGCCGAATTCCTCTCGCGGGCGACACCGATGTGCACCTCACTTCTGAATGGAACACCCTTGCACGTATCGCGTCGGACGGTGCTGGTCGGGCATGCCGTGGGCGGCTCGGTCGCGCTGATTCTGTCGCTTCTACTTTCGCAACGCGGATTTGAAATCAGCAACGTGATAACCCTCGGCGCCCCAAAGGCGTTGCAGGGAACACTCGAGCGCTATGTGGCCGCCATCAACCCGATACGGGTGGTGCTCGCCGGGGATCCGCTTGTGGAGTTACCCGTAACGGGTGCCCAGGGGAATCCTTTCGTACATGTGGGAGAGATTTTGCTCCTCACACCTCACGTCGGGGAGGAAGCTCCGATGACTAGCACTACAAGTCAATCCGAGAAGCCTTCTTCGGCTAATGATGCCCGAACCGGTACGTGCGCACCTTCTGATAGCACTTTTCCAGCAACTGTGAATTCAGTGGAGGGTTGTGGGGACGATCTGACAGCTGATAAGCTAGATATGCTCATGAGCGATACCATACCTGAAGCACCCCTTGACGGGACTAACAACTGGGATGACTTCTCAAGTATGCCTTATCCGCAACCAGAACGTGAATCTTACGCACACGTTCCTTCCTCAGAAATGCGTACGGTCCCAGATTCAGTTTCGAATGCTGAAAATGGTGAATTCTCGGAAAATCAGAACGCAGAGGAAACGTCTGAGGAAGCTGAGTGTTTATTTCGCGTTGTCAAGGAGCGTTACCGTGCTCAGTATTTGGTGGAGCATTATGTGCAACATCTGTGCGATCCTAATATCGAGCTTACTTATGCCGAAGGAGACGAGGTTTGGGATGAAGGAAGCTATGCAGAGACACGTCGTGAGGCAGAGCGCACAATGAATGTTTCCTTTGGGGAGAGGTTCCAGCGCGACCTGCGAGGCCCACTCTAATGAATACCTGAGTAGCTGTGTGGGTGGAGGAACGGGAGGGACGGTTGTGTATGGGCTCTTCAAACCGTATTCACATTAATTTATTCTGGAAAACCGTTCTAGAAGAATTTCAATGAGAGATTTCATTGCCGCACTAATGTCTGCAAAAGGGCTCTCATTCCCTTTATCTCCCAACGGATTTGCTGCGTGTGCGCAGGGAGCCTAACATCTGATTGTTTTGCTGAGTTCACCAGGAGAGGCACCACGTGCCCTCATGTGCATCACTTGTTTGTTTCCCTTGTGCCGCAACTCTTTCATCTTGGCACAAAAATTCTGTCTTGGACCGAATAACTACAGCATAAGTTCTACGTATATTTGCGAGCACGCACATTCATACATACACATATTATCGTTTATATCATAAGTCCAATGAACCTTCTTTTGCTTCCCATGAAGCTTCTGGCCTCAAGCGAGATTAAAGCCATCTGCATTGCGATTGCCGTAGCGATGGTGACGCCTTTCATCCCTCGAAAAGCGCTGATACCGTTCCTGTCTTTATGGGGAATCATAAGCCGGCTTGTAGCGCGTGGGGCTCGCAATCGTTGCCGCCCTATCAACAGCGCTGACTCTGAGAACGTCAAGCAGTCCGCGCGATTTGTGATGTATGAGGATATGCCGACCGAAAAGCGTCCTTTGGCGTTGGTAACCGGCACGAACAGCGGCATCGGCTATCACACCGCGGTCGGTCTGGCTGCGGAGGGCTACACGGTGGTAGTGACGTGCCGCTCGCATGCCCTAACGCGCGAAACGGCTGATCGTGTTCGCGTGGAGGCACAGCACCAGCGGGCGATTTTCCCGAATCGATACCGCAACGCTCCCAAGCATGTTATCGTTGTCGGGTTAATGCCTATTGAGTGCGACGACTTTGACAGTATCCGCAGTTTCGTGAGCTGGTTCACGGCGAGCTTCGAGAGCCACAATTTCCAGGTCTTGGTGAATAACGCCGGGGGTATGCGCCGGGGCCTAAGGTATTCGAAATTCAACCCGGAGTTCGAGTTTCACACGGCAGTAAACTTTCTGGGCCCAATGCTCTTGACGGAGCTCCTTTTGCCGCTACTGGAGAAGAACGGGGGGCGAGTTGTATACGTTTCGAGTTTGGCACATAGGAGCAATGAGAAATGCCTTACAGGCTACGGTACCCCCTCGGAACCGAAAAGCACTGCTGCTAACGACACACTCAACGGCAAACTGCTCCGCGCACTGAAAGAGTTGAACCAGGGTGAGGAGAGGTCTGCTGGTCCTCTGTCCAAGGATTCACTTTCGGGTGCGTTTGTTCGCTACGGCACGAGCAAACTTCTCAACATTTACCATGCGCATGTGATCGCCCGTCGGTACCGTGACGTGCCGAATCCGGAACATCGCGTGTTTGCGTGTTCGCTTCATCCTGGAGTCATAAAAAGTGGTTTTGCCCAAGGTATAGGTTTGCCAAGTAGATTAATTATTATTTTAAATTTTATAAGCTTTTTCTTCTTCAAGACCAGCTGGGAGGGAGCGCAAACAACGTTGCACTGTGCGATGTGCCCTCTTAATGAGTTGGAGCTTGTTATGCCGCCCACGACTGAGGGTGCTGATCCTGTAACAAGTAAAGGGAACAATACCCACAAGTTGGAGGATGGATATGTGAGCCCATATTTTGTTGAGTGTGCGAATCAAACGAAATTGATGCTTAGGAAGCATGGCTGGGATGTTAAGGAGGCGGAAATGATCATTAAGTGGGCCAAAGAACTTCTAGATCTTCATTAATGTGGACGGTGCAACTTTTCATCGTGATGGTTTTGTCAAGCTTACGTAGTGACCACACTAGGCCATTCATACGCAAACGTTATTAGCATTAGCATTATCACTGTGGATATTATGGTTAACATTTCTTGGAATTCAGTACCTTAACATTCTGTCCTAGTATATTTAGAACAATTCAATTTGCGCTAACCCTTGTTTTTATCCCTGCCCTCAACACTAATGAGTTATGTCGAAGTAAGAATATTTAGGCATATAATCTTCATTATTGATGAAGATTCACTGTACCCAATGTTTTCTCTTGCATCCACTAGTTGTTTAACACGAACCTTGTGGAGATGACGTTTTTTTCCCCCATCTCTTCAACAATTTGTCTCTGAGTTCCGATAGCAAGGAAGTTAGGAGGGCCGCAGGCCAGTTTCTGTTGATGTCGCTGAGGAAGGAATTTATCACATATATATATTTATTATTACTATTATTTGTTTGATCTTTCTTAGTTGAGTTTCTTGCATGATAAATTTCCTCTAATTACTTTATCCTTGCTTGACTTTTCAAAGAGCATTAGAAAAGGACGGTAGGCCTCATTTCTAGTCGTAATATTGTTTTGGAGACTGCTTATATGTTACACCGATATTCTAATGAAGTGGCTGCCCTTTTTATCTTTCTACTATCGTTATTTACTCTTATTGCCACGCCGTTTGTAGTGCCATTGTGGTGGCGGGAGCGCTCCTGGCTCGATATTATCCTTTTTATATTAAGTTTCCTCTTTTTTAGTCGTTTGACTGCCCGGGGTGCTCGCTGTCGATGGCCGGCTCGCGTTGACTTTCGGGGCCGCGTGGCGCTGGTTACGGGGGCGAGCTCGGGCATCGGCTTTGAGGTCGCCGCGCAGCTCGCCGCGCATGGATGGACGGTGATTTTAGCTGGCCGTCATCTGGAAAGACTGCTCTACGCGAGAGGGCGTATTGATGCCCAACTCGCACGACAACAAGCCGCTGCCGCCGCGGCAGGGTCCAACCAAGCCGCCTTCGGTGGCAGGGCCTTCGTGTTGGATCCAGTCGAGCTCTCGGACAAGGTGTCTGTGCGCCGGTTTGCCTCCACGGTTCTCTCAGTGCAGGAACGATACCCTCTTGCGCTGCTCGTGAACGCCGCGGGGGTGTTGCGTCGGCATCTCCGTTACTCCTCGAGCAAAGACTGGTGGGATGTGGAGGAGATGCTTGCGGCGAACGCGATCGGCCCTATGATGCTCACCGAGCTGCTGCTCCCCGCGCTCGTTCAGACGGCGGAGCGGTCGGGGCTTCCTTCGCGGGTCGTGAATGTGGCCTCGAGCTGCCATACTTTTTTAGGCTTTGGAAGGACGACGTTACGGGGCGACCCCATTAGTATGATTTGCAATCTCAGGAAGAACGCGGAGCTGTTGAAGCCTCCAGGCATCTCTGCGGGGCGACGCACGCGCGAGTGTTCTGGGTCGTCTAGCAAGGACGATGCTCGATACGCGATGAGGGACTTTTCGCTCCTTAATTTTGTCGGTTACTATGGGCTGTCCAAGCTGTGTGTGATATGGAACACGAGACTTTTGGCGGAAAAGGTTTCAAAGCTTACTTTGGGAACCTCGCTGGATGTGAATGAAGCGAGACCCTCAAAGAATCAAGACGAAAATGAGGTTTTGCATGCATCGGACAAATTGGAGGGAGCACCACGTCGGCAGCAATACCCTAAAGTATTTGTGGCCTGTGTGCATCCGGGTATTGCTGCAACGCACCTCTATCGGGACTTATTACCTACATGGGTTCTCGATTATGTTCTTTATCTGCCTTCCCTTATAATAGGGAAAACTATGGATGAGGCGGCGCAGTCGACGCTTAAAGCTGCGGTTGAGGTAGAACATATGGTGCAAGGCGGTTATTACATGTGTGATGGGGAGTACGGCCCCAACAGCGGTGTCAATTGCCTTTCGAAACACGCCACGAACACTGATGAGATGGAGGCCTACGGGCGGTTTCTGCGTGGTTTCATCCCCTATGATGAGCAAATTGAGTAAATTAACGTAAAGACGTCCATCGACTGAAGTTTTCCGTAGAGTGTTTTCACTTTTGAATATTTTTATGATTAAATACGCGAGCGTGGATGCATTTTCTATCGACAAGACTTTGAGATATTGTCAGAGCTTTATCTTCCGTTGCAATTTTCGTTGGTTCACTTTATCCTGACGAAGCGCAGCAAATGGAATAAATAATAGCCCACATTATCTGAAGCGTTCACAGCTAGGGTGCTACATCTATACACAGTTCACCTAGTTTCTCTCTTATTTTTTTCTGTTTTTTTTCTGAATTGGAAAACACGCAGTGGCTATGGACGAAACATTGGCTACATTAACAAGGATAATAAAACCACGGATACAGCTGTGCAATAATAATCATAATAGCAATAAGGTATAGCTTATCGACATGGAGGATACTTCGGTCAATGCCACATCGTCAACTCAGGCGGAGATTTCGATCGAGCTTCTTTCTTTACCTCCACCCCCGTCTATCACTCCGTTGCTGTCTCCGCAAGAACTCCAGGCGCGGTATGATCTTTGCGTTGCCCAGTCTAGGAAACGGATGCATGATGAAATAACCACTTCAGAGGGCACGTGTGAGAAGCCAGGGGGGCCTGTCAGCTCCAGCATCGATGACGTTTTCCTAAGTTGCTGCCCTACTCTTCAGCTTCAACCTACAGAGGTGGTGCCACTTGTTCAGGAGTTTCTCCTTCAATGGTTTTCAGAAGGTGAAGTGCGTTCCAAGTTCAAGAAAGAATTAGAAGGTATCAATGCATCATACCTTCAAAGTCTCTACGATGCGCCAGAAAGAAAAGAAGCTGATCTATTTGGTCGTGTAGACGTCGATCGCAGCCGAAGAATCTTGATTTCGAACTCTGAGGCTCAAACTGATAGCGCTGGCGACGGCGCTGTTGATGTGAAACGTACGCGTGAAAAAAGAATAGCGGAGTGTGTTTCCTGCCTGACGCAAGGTCAGCACCGACACTATCGCAATGTTCTAAAGCATTACACGCGTGATCGTCGCCGCCCTCCCGCCAGTACTCCTTCTCACCCAGATACCACCGTCATCCTTGATTTGATACAAGCAGAGCAAGCCTGCTTCTTGTCGAAGCTCAGGAGGGAAACATGTGAATGCGTTAGATGTGTTGAGGAAGACGTGGGCGGGATTCTCTCGAGTGGGAACGTGGATAATCCACATGATTGTATCAATCACAACTTTTTTGGAGGTTCGCATCTTCGTCGTTTTGCACAGTACCGCCGAATGCAGCTCTTGTCGGAAAGGGTTGAGGGGTTCCTGATTCTTGCGAAAATAGCTGCGTGTGTCGAAGGTAGCAGCGACCCTTCCTCGAATGTTCTCAGCGCGGTTGATAAAAAGGTCCCCACTGGAAGAGATGTTTATTTTCACTCATACGAATCTTTCTCCTGTTATGGCCGCCTCGCCCCCGCTGGACTCTCAGTGCAAGTTCAGCTTGTTGATAGCAAGGATTGGTCGCGAATGATGCATGCGGAGGCGTCGAAGAAGCTTCTCCCGCCAACTTATCCAGGTGGAGGTGCGGTTGAAAGTGGGAAGTCGATTTCGCAGTCGGAGCATTACAAGGCGGGAGAGGTGGAAAATGCAAACAACGCGACTGCATTGCCCTTCGCACTTGACGTAAGCTTGTTGGGCGAGGTGGTCTCCGCCGCGCAGCATGCAGGAGAAGATGGCAGCGACTCTGGATGCTTTCAACCGGAGATCTTGGGAGACAGTGAATCCTCAAATCAGTTTGGAAAAGAAAGTGCATCCGAAGCGTACTGGAATGATATGGTGGATGGCCGTTATGCCATTCACAATTGCATCCTAAACCCTATGGTAGTCGCGCTCGATTCCACTTCACCCGCTGTGAACACGCAAGGTTTGTTATCGCGGATCAAGGGGTTTAGCCTAGCGTTATCTTTTGAAGCAATGCTCACGCTGCTGACTGCGCATATTGGTGAAAAAAAGGGAGGTGGCGAGTCCTTTCATAATAGCTTCCGCATACCCCTTCTGGTGCGAGTCGTATCGCAGGCAGCTAAAGGGTATCCTGCTGAAGCTCCCCTGGTTGACGCTTCATCCAGTGTGTCATTACGAGATGATGAATCTCTCGAAATTCGCTTGGAGATGGGGAACCCATTTCCAAGAGAAAAGGAATCTCGGCGTAATATCCTGGCAGATACTATGGAGTATTTAATTAATCATACAAAACCATTTTGCCCGCCCCTAGAGGGAGTGGGCAAGGGTAATGCTGAAGGAAAAAATCGGTCCACAGAAGCCGCTTCGGCTCACTCCAGTGGTGGCATAGCCGAGTCGCCACAAACGAGCTCACATGCGCAGCATAGTCACCAAGTTCCTTTCTGTGCGACTCTGAAGCTATTTCGCACCGATGAGAACACTGCATCTTCGCTGTTAGAGGATATACGAGTTTTGAGTGGTACCTCACTTTTTTCCAAGCCTCTTTATTTAAATGTCATGCATCACGCAGCTGCGCTTCAGGATGGTGTAAGGCCAATCTTTACCATGGTTAAGGTGGATTACTTGACTAAATCTCCTAGCTTGAGATCGGCGTCTTCTTCCCCCTTTTCCGTACAATCACCACCTCCTCTGCTGCGGGAGTCGTTCAGCACGGCCGAAATTCTGAAGGTTTGTTTACTGTTTCGATGCTTTCCGACAGCGGTCGTTCGCGTATACTACGTTAATGCTTACTTTTCATACATTTTTAGTATTATCGACTTCACGCGCTCAACTTGGGAGGCGGCGCTGACGATGTCTCCGGAGGGTGATTATCCTTCCGCTTTTGAAAACGACTTCTACTCAACCCCCTCCGCGACGCAAACCGAGGATTTTCGATACGCCTTTGATTCACTCTACGACCTCTTGCATGCGGTTAGCCATTGTGTTCTAGGGGAGCTCATGAAGACACTGCATCAGCGACCACCCCAAACGCCGCTGAGAGGGACCACCAATTTTCACTATCTTCTTACGAAACTCAACAAGTCTAAGAAGACTTTAACTAAAGAAGCTACAGTTGATCAGCATGGTAAAAAAGCTGCCCATAGCCTTCAACACGGTGACGCGGCGCGCCAGAAGAGAAGGTATGGCTTCCGTCTTTACCACACTCACGAGCTGTATCCGAAATTCAGCCTGCCCTTTAACAAGAGGAAGGATGCGGAGGAATTAACTTTCGTTGAGGGGGTGAGTTCTGAAGTGTGTGAAAGGGAATACCTGCCGCCAGACAACTGGATCTACCGCGATCGCATCCCTTTCACATTTCCGCCGGCAAAGGTTTCGTAGATTAGGAATTTCAGAGAATTTCTTAAAATTTATGGAGCGTTTAATCACTGTAACCTATTATTGTAGTTGCCTCCAAAAACGACCATCGTTTTTCTTCTAATTATTACTTTACTCTTAGTGTTCTTTCCATTTTCTATTTTCTATTCTCGTTTTTTTTTTGTATGACGCTTTCCTTTCGCTTTCCATGTGATATTTCGCTATTTATTCCCCCTTTTTTTCTCTTTTTTCTCCTTCAATTATTACCTCCCCCTCTTATTTCGCGGTGGCTTTTTGTTTAGCCAATTCACACGTACCCCCCCCCCTAGATGCCTCCAAAGTTTGATCCGAACCAGGAGATCACCGTGATCGTGCGTGCGGTCGGTGGTGAGGTGGCGGCTACGGCTTCTCTGGCCCCGAAGGTCGGCCCCCTCGGTCTCAACGCCAAGAAGATTGGCGAGGATATCGCCAAATCCACGAAGGACTGGAAGGGCCTGAAGGTCACCTGCGAGCTGCACGTGAAGAATCGCGTGGCGACGGTGGTGGTGACTCCTTCGGTGGCTTCCCGCCTCATCCGCGCCCTCAAGGAGCCGCCGCGCGATCGCAAGAAGGTTAAGAACATCAAGCACGACGGCAACATCGCCTTCGCGGAGATCATCAAAATCGCGAAGGAGGCGCAGCCGAAGTCGATGGGGGCGAACCTGAAGTCCGTCGTGATGGAGGTGCTCGGCACGGCCGTCTCCATTGGCTGCACGATTGACGGCGAGAGCCCGACGGAGATCCAGAACAAGGTCCGGGAGGGGAAGCTGAAGGTTCCGAACTAAGCGAAACACTGCATCAGCCCACTCCCGTCGATGAGAACGGTACCTTACAGTGTGTAGGCGTTATTGGTTTCTTTCGTACGATGCTTCGTTTTTCTTTTGTCTTAAATCCTCATATCAACCGCCGCTGGTGAGATTTTCTGTCTCATTTGTGTGCGAATATCGGGTGGGATGGGAAGTCGGCATTCGTGACGAGTATTCCCTTCACCCATGTTTCCATGTCTTAACCAATGCCCCCTCAAAGAAATTCAAGGCTTGATCTTTAAATAATCCTGATCCTGATCCTTTTGCTTTCTTTTCTTTTGCGTGCACGTGTATTCTGGTAGCATAACAAGTAAGGAGGAGGAAAGACGAGCGCAGTTAATTAAAGCACCTTAGCTACCCCCCTAAAAAAAAAAAACTAAGGGCGGAAAAAAACATAAGAACCCCCCCAAAAAAAACTATCCTACAACCTCAGCGATGATGGAAGACCAAATTTCGCAAAACTCCAACGACCTCAGTCCCGCGCAGAACCTCAGCGAGGACCGGCTGCAGCGCAACCAAGGCACGATCCTTTTCGTGGGCAACCTACCCTTCCAAACCCCATGGCAGCACGTCAAGGACCACTTCAAGAATGCCGGCAAGGTCCGCTACACGGACCTCATCGCGGACCGCAACGGCCGTCCCAAAGGCTCCGCCCTCGTCACGATGATGACGGTGGAGGGCGCCCAAAACGCGATTCGGATGTTCAACGAAACCGACTTTGAAGGCCGCCGGCTCATCGTGCGGAAGTTCGATGAGGGGCCCCGGCCGTCACTGGTGCAGCG